CAAATCGGCTGTGGTAAGAAATACTCTCTCATTATTTCAAAAAGGAGATCGCAGGATCAACGCGACCAGTGAGGAGAACTATCTGCTCCGCCAAACAAAACGCTCACGGAACCAAGCAAGTTCGTTGTTGCACACAGTATTTCAAAAGGCGATATATTCAGCGTACGGATCAGACAAAACGTGTTTTGCTTTGCCAAAAGCCTTAGAAAATAAGGAATTTTTAAGTTAGATGTCCATTTATTGCAGTGTACAACCACACACCTGTACCGCTATACTTCATATCAAGGTTAGATGTATCATAGCACTGAACCACAAGCCACTTAGTGTGTAGCGGTGCGCCATGATGAGTATCTCAATATTGGACGAGGCACATGCTATGGCAATTTGAAAGAGAAAAACATACTATTCGGTGAGCGCTATGTTATGTTGTCCCAACATGTATATGTGGGTAAGCACATATGCCCGCACGTTCGAAACTTGTCTGCGGGAGAAGATCGCACTACATGTAGCGGCACGTTTGGTTAGCCTGCGTCTTCTGGTAGTGAAAGCAGTCCATCACAGCTATCTTCAAAAGGCGCCTCCAGAAATAGCGACACTGTGGCCTTTGTAGACCATTTGAACACGATGGCTCATATCGCTGCATTCCACGATATTGTGAGCGATAAGGTTACAGCCAAGCTCTTCCTCGATCAAGTGCAACACTGATATGCATTGTAATGCTTCTTATATTGGATCAATACGCGCGCTTCACCGCGAAGTCTGGCAAACCATGTTCACAGTACTCACCACTGAATACTAATGTCAGCTGTCGAGAATCTGCAAATAGGAAGTCAGTATAAATTAAGCAGTGGAGGACATTCCCTGAAATCTTGCGAAAAGCCCGCGATGATCGAGAGAGTGACTCCCAGTCAGTAAGTATGCATAAGAAACTGTAAATGGCTCCACGGGCATTACCCCCAAGTTTTATAGCCGGTTTAGTAAGCCCGGGTGCAGCGACGCTACCGTAGCTCTTTGCTTCGAGGAAGCTAAGCTCTGGTCATCGACCTTACGTTCTTTCCAAAATCCGTACGAGTGTAGTGGATCGCGATCCGCTACCTCCAAGTACTAAATACCTCAATAAAGGTCTTTTTTGCGCAAAATTTAAGATGTATTTAATTGTTTTAGATGCGGCAAATAAACTGAGAATCTGCGATCCTCCGATTTGCTAATGCGGCAGACACGGGCTCACTATCATAAATGTTATCACACTTACCACTATGTATCTTTGAGTGAATTATCACTTTGCCAATCGGCCTTTTCTCATCCGCAATTATCTGCCAATTCCGTACACTACTTTGCTGCCAGCTCATATTTGTAACTTAATCACTTCGCCATTATTAGGCTCTTGATGATGTTATAAAAAAGGCGAGGCTTGAAACGGTATTATATCGATTCAGCAATGATACAGCGCGTGAAGTGAGCCAGTGGTGAAGGTTGTTGCTGACACCTTTAAAGAATAAGCACAGACAAGGGTTTATGAATCTGAACTAAAAATTGTATGTTTTTAAAAACTGAAATGAAGGATGCAGTCTACGAAACATTGTTCCAACTATCATTTTGCCATATTCTGAGCCCAAACTCCGCAACTGCTGTCCTAGGCAGCAACTTCACACTCGCTCTGATTTCAAATACACGTTTGATAAACTCTCCAAATCATCTAAGAGGACGATATGGTATTTACAAGGACGGTGGCGAGCTGCTCAAGTCAACAGAGAAGGCGCTGGGCAGACCTGTTTAGATGACAAACCAGGGAAATTATCTCGACTTATAATAAAGCGAGCTGGGTCTGCTGAACGTGTCACTGAGTCAGACCATGCAAATGACATGTTGAAATGGATTGAGAAAAATGTCAAGATTTTACATGATACGTGATTTAACTTGATCAATATGTAGGACGCAAGTACCATGACATCATGGTCGGGGTGCCTTACCGCTACGCTCTAGGTGTTCAGATGTTTATCAACATTGCACTAAGCTAGGACTCCCTGCGCGAAGACAGCCTTCGATTGAACTGCGGCTGGACCCTGCCGTGATCACTTGAGCAAGTGTTCCAGTGGCGTTGCGGCTTTTTTGACAGCCGTAAAAAATTAGTGGTCCAGATCGATCCGTTCTGAAACACTCATTTATATCATTTCATAGCATGATAGTACCAACAGGCTCCTTAGCGTGTGCCCCTCCACCTCTCGCTTCAACAACTTACTGCATTGTTCAATTTCTGTTTCACGGTAGGAAACCCAACTGACGTCAGGCACCTTCGCCATATATTAAGATTTTTAAACAGCTAGTGCTGTTCGAGAACGTTTCAAATCTCGGGACAAATGTGACATCAACAGTTGTTGACACGGGGGACCGCCTGGGAGACTGCAGTAGCTATTTTGGAATATCTGAGATCCTAAAGGCCACGTATTAGCATTCATGCTACATGCCAAGAGCTTTCTTCAATCTAGTCTCCACGTTTGTCATGACGTTAATTAATAACATCATTAGTCTTGATCTAAGGGTACTCAGATGGGCTTCGTGTGACGGTCCTACAACGTTATCAAGACACAAAGCACACCTGAGTGATGCACGTTATAATGCGGGTTAGCAAAACCAAGCAGTCCGCGTAAATCATTTGAAAAGACGCGTAACGATAAATATCGCAATTGGCTGAAAAAATGCGCTCGAAATCCGAGGTGCCAAACATCGCCACAGATTAGCATGACGTAATCAATCCGAATCAAAGTGAAGAATGGAGCAGTGAAAGTTTGAACCGTTTTACCATTTGTTTTAAGTTAGTCCATCAGCAAAAAGATATTAAGCCGGTTGAGTGCCAATCCACTACATACGATTATTTAGCTCAAAGCGTACGTAAGAAATCGATTCATGCTACTTCTGACCGCCCCTCAATACTTATGTAGAGTCAACATATAGCCATATCTATAAAGAATTCCTTGAAAGGTGCCTGCAAAAGAGCCGCGCCCGTCAGCATTGCTCGATGATCAAAAGGTGCCCATTCTTAACAACAGGTTGGTAAGCTCGCCAAAGCTGTACCAGCATATTCAGATGAAAGGGATGACATTTTGCAAGCTTGAGAGACCATTGTGGTAAAATTGCCCTGTCGCTCTTGACGCTCACGACCTGCAGCACTTCTTGTCCTTATTTTTTCCTCGAAAGAAAAGACAAGACCGCACGGCGGAATTCGCTTCCAGCTTTAATTAAGGCTCGGCCTTGTGCAAATTTAAGACTTTGTGTGTTGTCGTACCAGCAGACTTATGAAGATAAGCACGAATTTTGAATCTAAAGTTGTTACTTTCCACATCGACGTCGATACCGTGGTTTATTTATCGAAAAAGAAGGATGGATGTTTTTGTGTCATGTATGCCTCCTTGAATCTTACTTGTGACGTGGTAGACGAAAAAGGCGACATGCGCTCTTCACCCAGTGCTTGATATGATTAAGATACCCTTCGACAAATTTGCCGCAGTTTAGAACAAAACAGACGTCAGCTCGAATTGACCAGACCGTACAGCACATATGGTATCTCTCTCTGTGATCGCCTTACGATAGTTCGGTTTGTTCGCTTTTCAGCGCAAGGTCTACTTTCAATGTTGTGCATGGGGTCCGCCGCGGTCAGTGGGTGACAATAGATATCTCGAATACATGACCACGACGCGATTATTTTGCAAAAGTCGCTGCGTTTCTTCCGCTTTGAAATGATCAAGCATTACTAGCTCACAGCGGATTTTACTACTCTTATCGAGTAAATAATGGACAAGCATCTCGCAATTGGTGCAGTGCTGAGGAGTAAGCTTTTACATCGAAGAGTGTTAAACAGATGGAAAATGATTTTGCAGTATGGTAACGACCCTCATACTATATTCGTAGCATCATTATACATCAGGGGCTGACCAGTACTTGTAATCAGACATTTGGGTCAAACTTGTTCATTAGACCCACTCTTGTAGACTAAAGGAGTTGAGAAATTTATCGCGTTCCAGCCTCAAAAATTAAACTAAACCAACTGAGCGCATAAAACTAAACGTTCGTCGACACGAATATGCAAAAACAAAGTTGGATGATGTCTGCTGGTGCCAACGCTTAAATTACTATGAGATAAAGCATGAAGGAGCGATTGAACTACACATCACATGTTAATTACACAACAAATGCTGGTCAACGCATTATTTTGCAATTTTGACACAATTAGATCGTGAAAAGCAGACTATTTACTATAATGCAGGGCAACACATCAAGTAACGGGGTATCCTCACTGTGCATCAAACGCTGCAGATTGCAATCGACAGTACATTTAGTCTGACATCCTGTCAGATAAAGGCTACACCAACCGTTTCAAACTTGCCGACCGGAAGTACTGTCATTGCCATAGAGACAGCTCAGCTGTGAGCTAACTATCAATATTGCAGATTCCATCTACTCGATATTCCGGTCATATTGTACCGGGAGTAACGTCATTTCATGTGCTGCCACGGGAAACGTACCGTTTTGTGCTTTGCACTGTCGACCCTCGGGCTTAGTCAAGCTCAGATGTATCATGACAAGTACTTATACAGGTGAGAGTCGTACTTTAAAGAGAAGAGCTTTGCAAAGCACGCGGGTGGCAGGCTGCTGGCGTTACGCTATGTTGTACGTGAGGTTTTATTGACGTAAATAGACAGCACATCTACCGCGTAACAGCTGACTAGAGATAATTCCAAACATATGTTTTTTTCGAAAAAGAAAAGCAATAGTCACGTTAACGGAAGTCGATGCAACATTAGTAGTGGATACAAGATCCATCTACTGTCAGTCATCTAAGACAGACTCGCTGAATGGAAGATTACTGCGCGTTCATTCGGCGTCATCAGCTCGATAATCCTTTACGAAGATGAAACACAGGTTGCTTTATTTTCTTTTCTAGGGACAACGAGACATGCATATTATGTTTTTGTCAATAGTTGGTCTCGTGAGAATTAGGCGGTATGCGCACGACTGGAGGCACTCCCCAGTACTTGTTCTGATACTTTATAATAGACCTGTACTTTGGATCTCTGGCTGGACTCTTGATTCGAGGGGCGACGATTTATGGTATCGCACATCTTCGCTTTATCCCAAGAAGTGTAGCATACCTACTTTGTTTTTTGAAGGCGTTGTGCATCAACGAGCGTTTCACTCAGTCTCCTAGGAACTGTTTTTTCGCCACCAAACCTAACAGTACTTGCTCTTACAAGCCGGAAATTAGTGTGATGTAAAAAAACCTGTTTCATACAAAGGACGAAGCGATATGAAAGAAATTGAAGCCTTTCACTCGGTGCTCATGTTTGAAAGCCCAGGACATGTGACAAAATTTGCCTGCCTAAGTATGGCTAAATGCAGTTACTAACGCGAGACAAACGCCGCATCCAAGAAAGGTTATGCTGCAGAACAAAATGAATGTTAACCTTTTGATCGGACTCTTGACTTGATTGGCGAGTCGTTTTCAATACTTGTGAGACGTAATTTGCATTCCTATTAGCGTTAAGGCACTCTGTGTGAGATGCTCTTGGCGCGGCTGGTCATGCCACGGCGCGAGTTGTTTCAGCCACACCGCGACAATGCGTAAACCTACAATGTCGTGCTGAGCAGGCAACATTCAAATTTAATGTAATGAGCAGCTGGGCACATGCACACTTGTTCTGGGATATCTTTACCTTAAGGCTTGGTCTTCTTGGGTATCTGTTGTACGTACCTCTTCAAACACAACCGTGTGTGGATCTCTTGATCAAATGACGACTGAGTATATTCTAGGTGGTCTTATTTTAATTCAATCTTAACCTAGAGAAACAATTGATGTATCTTATTGTAACCACCTATTTATCAGTGCAATGCGCGCAATTTTAACCAATTTTCACCCTTTTTCAGAGAAGAAAAGAGAAAAAAGAAAAGAAATCAGGCATAAGAAAAATAAGAAAAATAAGAAAAATAAGAAAACAAAAAAATCAAATGTGTACCACACAAAATGTTTAATGGGCCTACCATCCCAGTGCACCATCCCCTACCCGAAACGGGACATCTGCATGCCCAGGGGTACCCGAAAGAAGAACTTGTATTACTTGACACAAAAAAGCGGTGTCGGACACGATATTACGAGAGATGACGATACAAGAGGTATATGTTCGGAAACAACGCAAAAGGCATTTGTCAACCCTGGCGACGGCGACAGCGATACGCCAGTGGCAGATATGCTAACACGATATATTGCCAAAAAATCGAGAAAGTGCCGAGGAGCGCCATGAGCGTCCAGCAGAGTTGCCAACACAACTAGCACAAACGAAAACGAAGGCGCCGGCAATGTCGGTCGGCGACGAAGGCGTCAACAGCTTTGTTTGATCTTCTCCACGGGTTGAAAAGCTGAAAAAAACCGCCATAAATCCATAAATCGATCGAGCGACGAGCACAAGTCGGCAGACGACGATGAAGATGAAGAGCTTCCTCTACCTCGCGTTGCTACGGAAAAGACTCTCAGACTTCGCTGACACCTCCAACGAGTACGCTGATATTTATAAAAGTGGGTTCACACCACCAAGTCGATTGCGACTGAGAACTAACGCAAATTCGACGGAAAATTTATCTGTCGTTATAAGGCGATCGCCAAGTGCGCGACATGCGTATTCGATACGGGAAACTCGTATAAGAGGGAAAGGTCAAAGCAGGTATTTCTGCATGTCGTGGAGACATGGTGAGATATTCACCAGCGGCAGCGCGTGTGGTCACAGGGACATGCCGAAGGACATGAGTTGGCATATCAACAAGCCGATTTATGCCGGTGACGACTAACATGGATCGGTCGTATGTTGAATTTCCTAGGCTTTCCAACCTGTATTGACACCGCATTCGTTGTCGTCGTTTCCCTTTGTTAGACCCCAAGCGATGGGACAGACTTTTAATGTTTCGACTCGAAGTGGAGCATGTAAGGTTTGCAAGCTCCTAATCACGGACTCGCGGCAATCGGCAAAGAGTTGTGAATGTGGCACCCAAAGTACGGATAGCCGAGCTATTTCACAAGAAGCTGTCGCACTCCAGAGTGTCGGCATATCGAAACAATCGTTTAACATGAAAGTGGGCAACCCCGTCTCGGACTACCACCAGCAACAAAATCCTCAGTGGTCGTACGATTGACAGCGATGCCATCGATGGCGTTTTCGTCGGTGCTACGCTTGGCGTTTTGATAGTGCTACACTTGCAGATAAGGCACCGAACGATGCGTCTAGGCGAGGCGAGGTCGTAGAATCATTAGATGCAAATACGAACGCGATCGCAAGATGGGTCGTCAAATGTCAAAGGTGAAAAATTTACTGTGGGCTGAAGTTCGCGGTGTGTAGATGAACGTTCACGCAGCATTGTCTGCTCTGTGGACGGAAGCTGCTCGACTCCACGCGGAGGATCAACGTCTTTTTGACAGAATTCATCAAATTTCGAGTGCTGTGGCACAGAAAGACTCGACGCTTGGATTTCAACGACGCGTTTGTTATCGTTCACGACCTTCGTCACCGGACTACTACAAACCGCGTTTGTAGAATTCGTACGATAAGATGAATCTCTACGGTATAGCCGACGTAAAACGTTGGATGGATACGGATCCAGCTTCGTAAGCCCAACGTATATGCATTTTCTGCACATTCTAAGGCCTTGAAGGGACCGGTGTATTTGTGAAGGAGCTTAGAAGTTCCTAGACTGGAGACGACAGCCTCGGCCAAGTTCTTGGTACTGACTAGTCATCTGTGAGTACTTGAGTGTTTCCACGGCCATGCGTATCAGCATTTGATTTCTGTAAATCTTGCGCTTCTGCCATTCATCACGTACCCGGGATACAACATTTGCTCTTTCGGTCTCAAACTTGTCAATACTTGGACGAAATTGGCGCTCGTCAATTGTACTGAGTTAGATGACAAAAGGCTTGTCGAGTACCTCTCTATGAGACCATGAGACAATGCTGGATCAGAAAGGCCATCAATGTCAAATGGCGTCGAGCCAGTTGTTGCATGAACCGCATTGTTGATGGCAAATTCAGTCATCGGAAATATATCGCTCCATGTCGCCGAGGAAGATGCACAAAAACTGCGTAGAATGTCTTTATGGGATTTGCGCGTTCAGTTTGGCCATCGGTTTCTAGGTTGTCCTTGATGGCCATCTCTAGGCAGGCCCCTAACAGACGAGAGAGGCTCGTCCAAAAGTCCTCTGTAACGCGCGTATCACGATCGGTTTCGATTGACTCTTGTAAACCATTATGTCAAGGGCCATGATTGATACATAACCGAGCGCTCTGTTCCTTAGTAACGGATTCAGCCGTTGGTGCGAGTGCACCATCGTGCTTGAACGGCCTACAAATACCAAAATTCCATTATGCGCCGCGGCACCCAGAGGTAACCCAAAGAAAAAGTCCAAACTGACGGACAGCCAGCAATCGGCTGGTGCTGGCAGACTCTGCAATGGAGTTTGACAGTGCGGGGAGTCACACGTTGACACACGTCACACGTATGAAGGAATTTCTTAACCTAAACATACATTTTGGGCCACCAAAAGCGGTATGCAAGCGCTGTATAAGATGACGTGCGTTGGCCATCTACTAAATCAAGTACGATCAAGTACGCTAATGCGTTTCGAGCCAGTCATCATTTGATGATGGCATCATTGCGAGGAAGAGGAATCTGTGCTGGCACAGTTTTGGCGTTCAAAGAGAAGAGAAGAGAAGAGAAGAGAAGAGAAGAGAAGAGAAGAGAAGAGAAGAGAA